GAGTTAGTGTATAGAAACCATTTTTAGTCCTCTGACGCTAACTCATTTTTTTCAGTGTACTAAGATCTGCATAGAAAAGTATATCTCATCGCACGGGAGACAAGATCTCTGTAATGAAGTTCCTGGAACGATTCCAGAGATTTTCCGCTTCGGACAGGTTTCCATATTTTTTCGCGGAGAAGCCGACGGAAAGTGGTGATGGGATCGGAGCGGAATTAGATATTTTCAGCGTGTCAGCACGTTGTTCAGACTCTTAAATTGGACAGAGCCACTATCGAATATGATAACGTAGATTCGTTTGCAGGATCGGGTTGCGTGCTCAGATACACTTGCGCTGAAACTAACCGCCCTTTCTTTCTTCGATAAATTTAATGGATAACAGGGAAGATAATTCCTCACACACACGATATCATACTCCCCTTTTTAAGTTTCGATTCCGATAATTGCTCCCTTCACTCAAAAAAGTCAAAACGCCAAGTGCATTACAACATTGCGAAATGCCATGCGACACCGTACTTTTTTATGCGTGAGCGGTTGACTGTTTTTTGTTGAATACACATGAGGGTTTTTTCGTCAAAAAATGTAGGAATTGCTCATAAAATTGAAAACTAAATTCCAATCATTCTTTAGGAAAGGAATAAACTGCTCGTCGAAATTTTTGAACGGTTGTAATGCAGTTGAGTCGCTCTATCTGATGTAATCTCGGAAAGTTCTGCAATTGAATCTGCAACATTATTTCTCCTTACGAATGCGAATTACTTAGTGCACCCGCATGCAAAGGAAGCATAAAAAGGAGCTCGCATCTTCTGTTTCTGTTATTTCTACCTTTGCGTATACCCGCATGACGAAGACAACGTGGCGACTCAAGCAAGTTTCAGTATGTAACCTGCATTGAGCGATAAGAACCTTGTTTTCTTCATTTAAAAAAAATAATTTGACCTAATTCTTAATAGGGCATGCATCAGTTTGAGTAACCAAAAGTGTGGAGTGCTCGAAAAAATTATCGGAAGTGTTGGGAAGCTCTCAAATTCACTGATCAAAGCTATAGATCGTGTTTGATACACCAAGCAGGTGAGATTGTATCGATATCGATTGGTTCAACATGTAAACATAGCCTCAAAAGTCGATTTTGAAATCTGAGGGTACGAGTTTCTCGTGATGGATTCTTTATTCACATGAGGATAAAATGGCAATGGAAAGTGAAATTGTTAGGAATTTTCTCATTTTCAGCTTTTCCAACCTAAGTCCTAAAATTTTTGTGTGAGGTTATGATGTATTGTTTTGAACCAAACGATAAATCGAACCACTATCGCACACGATCCATTTGGAAAATTTTTGATAATTATTGATATTGCACATGGAAAGTTCCCTTTCTGTTTGTTAGTGAATACCGTGAACGTCACCGCCATTTCTGCCGTGCTAAGGAAGGACGCCGCAAGAGCCTTCAGGCGTTGCCAAATTTCCCTTAGTAAAACATGCGTTTTTGACGATATTTATGCATATATTTCCTCGGAATTTTCAGATACTTTAAATTAAATTGCAATTGTCCGAAAAATTTGGAAAAAAATACGCACTATTTTTCCAGTAAATTCGGTTTTTATAGAAGGAAACTTAGCAACGTCTGAAGGCTCATACGGCGTTCTTCTTTAGCACGGCAGAATTTCAGGCTGTTTTCCACTCACGCATGACTGGTCCCTCCTACTCCCAGCGCGAACTCAATAAAATTTGTCCCTCGTCCGAAAGGAAACATAAGTACATTTCAGAATGAACCCTACCGCGCAAGCACCTGTATTCTCTCCAAGGTCCACGTGCAAAATTGTATCCACTCCTTTTTCCCGAACAAGGCGACAAATTACGCACCCTTCAATACCAGGACGATTTGAAGCTAATATTCGGGCAAACATCTCGTCGCTTCCAAACCAAGTGCCGCACCGCCCATTTTAGGCCAAAAAGACATACATGACATAGGGATCCCATACGAATCAGCTCTTTTAGATGGCGTTCGCGGCCTTGGGTGACTATATTCGACCCCGCCTCAGGAATGAATAGAAATCAACCCACCTTCTCTCGTATCGATTCGAACGGACATTGCCTGACCAGGGAAGAAAGGTGTACTGCCGGGCTAAGGAAGAACGCCGTATGAGCCTTCAGGCGTTGCCATGTTTTCTCCGATAAAAAACCGAATTTACCGCGGTCAAATTTTGAATACTATCCCCCAAAATTTTCAGACAATATTGTTCGCAATTTAATCTTAAATATCTGAAAATATGAAGAGAAAGTATGCATGAATGTCGTCATAATTGAATGTTTTACTAAGGAAAATTTGACAACTCTTGAATACTCATACGGCGTTCATCCTTAGGACGGCAATGTAGGCGAGGGATGTCGTGGCTGAGTTAAATTTCCGCAGTTGGGTCCCTCCAAGAGATGCAAATGATGCCCTCGACAAAGGTCAGCAGCCCGATTGTTGAATCTTCGTCGATACGACGAGACAAGATATAGCCCTAGTTTGACCATGCAATATATCGCGTATCGATGTCTTATCGTGCCGCTTCGATCTTTTAATTATCGACCCGCAGGTGTGGCTTTTGACTCTGAACTTCAAAGTTGAAGAGCCGAGACCCTCGCTAGTCGTGGTGCATATTGATGGTAACATGACATTTAGAAAGACAAAACCCTGACTGCACGCCTTGATATTTCATCACTTTACACAATGTAAAAAATTGCCGATTTTTCCACTGTGAAATCAAACGTTTTGACGGTTATCGATGCGTTATGTGTTCAGATGAAAAACGAGGTATATTTATCAAAAGAAAGTCATATTGTCGTAGTGAAACTGTGCTTAAAATTTTGAAGAAGGTACTCTTCATTGTTTTTAATTTCCTATCCTTATATTTATTTTGCTTTCAACTCGGTATTAGCACTAAATATCATACCTATAAGTTCTTTCGTAATGCACAGTTGAACACCGGCAACCCTCGTCCAATTTGCGATACTGATTTTTTCTAAAATAGAATGAATCTTTTTCCTAAAACTAAGTTTTGGTGAAATTTGGGCTTTATTAAATGGGGAAATTTATCAAACACGACCAATAGGCCGTTCAAAAATTACATAACGCCCTAGGGAGCTCGTTCAAGGCTGCGTTACATAACGCTAGAATATGCGTCTAGCTCCAAATTTTCAAAAATCCAAGATGTAAAATAAAAAAAGGTGGCAATTTATCATAGGAAGCTCATCACAAGACGCTAATTTGGAGGGAGGGGGGGGGGGGGGTCAAACCGAGCGTTACACCATTTTTACGAGGGTGCACACCTGCGTTACGCTTGGGTTACTGAGGATAGAGCTGTATTAACAAAATTCGATTTTCAACGTTACGTATTTAATGGACAGCTATACGACAGCTTTGCCCTTTTTCGAAATTTTGAAAAGGTAAAAATTCTCAGATCGCATCATCCTTGACCTCTTCGTCTCTGGCACTTACCGCGGCGGGGGAAATTAAGTTTGATTGTCAAAGATTCCGAAGTAAAATATTGTCTTTTTCACCCGAGAAGAGGAAAGAAGTTTACAACTTACAGCATCGCTTCCCCGTCGTAGCGCATAATGTCCCAGTTTTTCCTTACTTTACGTCGTTATCGTAATTCCGACCGCGGAGAACCCTTTCAGGGCTTCAGTCGGGGAGTTAACGAAACTATTCATGCCGATAATTTTACGAGCATGATGTGTATGAAGTTTCCTCGTGTTCCATGAAGCTGTTGCGCTGTAATGGCTCTTTAATGAATTTTAAGAAAATACAGCCGTTAACTTGAAACGAAGACAAATTACTCCTTGATGAACCCTGGAACCTCAGAGAGTCTTCTTTTCAACAGCTTGGTTTTTCACACACTTACTCTTACATTGTTTTGCCTCTTTCCGTTTTATATACATTTCAAGTATCCCAGTATAGATAAGAACAATTCGATAGTGAATGTCGATAGTTGCTCTACAAATAAATTGATAGTTTTTCATTGGGACTGCGTTTAACAGAGAGAAATCAAGGCAAATCAGCTATTGCCAAAAACCGGGCAGTATAATTATTCACAAGAGAACATTTGTGCGGATTTGTTTGAAAATTTTAAGGAATTCGCTTCGTACTTTGCAGAAAATTTACTGAAATTCGCACAAAAGTCCGGACAACAGTTTTCATGTCAAAAATTACACCATGTCCAATATTTGGCATTAGCTGATGTGGCTCGGTTCCTCTCTGCTGAACGCGGTCTATTTTTGAGACGTATTCCCCAGAAATCGTCGCAGAATCAATCTTATAAAATAGTGCCTCCGAACAAGGAACCATATTTTTCATTTTGACCAGGAAAAAATATGAAATAATGATTATGGAAAGTCGTGAGTGATTTGAGAAGGGGACTTGGGGAGCTTTAAGATGCCTGAAAAGTACCGAAGGCGGTAAGGTAAAGGACGCGCGTCGATGACGGCGCAGAGATACAACTATTCGTGCTTGATGGACGTCCGTGTTGCGTCTGCAAAATTGAAGGCGCGATGGCGAGAGGCGTAGACTCGCAATGCAATGTACTCGTGTATTTTTAATAAACCGAACGAAATGCATAGAAAGTTGCAATCATCAACTTGTATGGTAGAATATTTACAACTTGCATGGAGAAATATTCATTCAGAATCTTAAAATCGTTTAAAATACCATTGTGTGCTGCATACTTTTACAGAGAATTCTTCCTTGCAGGAGCAACGGATTATTTTTTCTAAAATTAGGGTAAAAAATCAAAATCCAATCTAAGTAATAATATTCGACTATTTGCCTAGGCATTTGACAAAATGCCTGATTTGAAAAGCTTGCGACATATATTATTCTATACCTTCTCGTCTCTTACTAATGATCATCAAATATTTTCTTTGCATTTATCAATTTAATATATTCAAGTGCTGTTTTATTAGTATAAACTATGCTTAAACTGTATAAACTAAGGGTTGAATTTGCGTTTCTGTTGCAGCGAGCTGCCGGAAATTCGGCCAGTGGCGCCGCCGGGCTCGAAGCAGCCGCCGCCGCTGCTGCGATCGCGGACCCTGCCGGCCATCGTCGTGCCCGGACTGAGCATCTTGCAGGCCCAGATCGGACCCAAATATCATCGGGACCTCGCTCCCGGCCCCGGTAAGACCCCCAATTCCATTATCCCCCGCTGCTTCCATATCCCCCAAGGCGGCCCGCCTCCCCTTCGCACCCTTCGCCAATCCACCCGCTCGCCCTTCGCCAAATCATCCCAGTTGACTCCTTTACTAATCCAGCTGTTGCAAAATTTTAACTAAACAGAAAGAATACTACACGGAGAAAAAAATTTCGTGCGTGAGACCCGAAGTTTAGGTAATATGGATCTCTGAAGTTTTCAGATTGAGCATCTGAACACTTGAGGTCTAGCTGTCGAGGTTCGGATCACACATCTGAAACTTCAGTTCTTACATCTGAAGTACCTCAGATGTGAGAACCGAAGTTTTTCGGATGTGAAAACCGAAGTACTTATCAGATGTAAGTACTGAAGTTTCAGATGTGTGATCCGAACCTCAGCAGCTGGACCTTATGTGTTCAGATGCTCAATCCGAAAACTTCAGAGATCCATATGACCTAAACTTTGTATCCCACGCACGAGGTTTTTTTCTCCGTGTAGCTAAAGATGTATGAAATATCTTACAAGGGGTATCCTTGGGTTAAGGGCACCAAAATGCCCCTACTCACGGATTTTGAATTTAATGGTCTTAACTCTTTCAGGAGGTCCTAAAAACATGGTTTGGGCAATTTTTACCTCCTGACCCCAACCACCCCCCTTTAGCCCCTAAAACCCCATTTTTCGGGGAATTTTGGGGTATTGTCACGTTTTATTTCATATCTCCCACGTGTTTCGATGAAATTGCTTCAAAATTTCACCAAATACAAATCAGACCAATCAGATTAAATTACGTACCCATGAATTTTGGCAATAGCCATCATCAGGGTAACAAAAATAAGAACCAAAAGTATTAAGAAGACAGTAAAAACAAGAACAGTAAAAATACATAGTACGTATGCATCTTGGCTAGTATTTTTCTTCTGTCGAGTCAATTAAACGATGCAATAATGGAAAATTACAGAATATTATTAAATGCTCACAGAGCAAAATTTTGCTGCAACCCTCTTCCCCTTCCCTCCGAATACAAAAAACTGGATTCGGCCTAATGGCCTATCTCAGAAAATATCCTGGTATTTCTCACGGGTTTGAAAGATGGTTGTCAAAAATGTAGTAAAAAATGAAAGTTTCAGAATTTAACCCAAAATAACTGGAAAGGAGAGGGTAAAAAATATATATATTAGAGGATTGGTGTTTTTACGCATGACTGTTGATTGACAACTCTCCTCAAAAGAGAATAGGAGAAGGAAAGGTAAATGGTGCAGGGTGTCTATAAGTCCGGAATTTCCGAAAAGTCCGGAAATAGTACTGATTTTTTAAGGGCACTCCTGAAATACTGAAAAAGTGCGGAAATTGCGCAAGAAGGTCCGGAATTTATGTCATTTTTGTCGCAATTTGAGCGAATAAGTGAAATTTTTGAAAATCGANTTTTTTTTTTTTTTTTTTTTAACAATTTTGGATTTACTTATTTTTTGGAAACGGGTGTAGCTGTGATCCTATTACCTTTACTTAATTGTAAGTGGGTTTGGTTACGGCGCACGAACGCTTCGAGGAGCCGAACGAAATTCTAGATATTCGCATCGATCTGACAACGAGGTCGTGGCAAGTAGCTTCCGATCCAGATCCCATTTCCCTCGTTTTCACCACTTCCGTTTCCGGCGTGGCTTCCCTCGCCCTTCCCCCCCCCCCCCTCTCTGTCCGCGCCACAACCGCCGTGGTCGACCTCCATCGCCCATCAATTTTCTGTCCTCGTGTTTTTGACCCGCTTTTCAAGAATCACTCGGATCCCCCTTTATCTCCTCTTTACTTTCCTAACACCCCCAACCAAGTGGCCTCTTGCTGAAAGGAACGAATCAACCTTATCTCGGATATAGATTAATCAAAGTTCGATTAAGTACTCTATGAGAAGAAAACACGATTTTTGTACCCTTACCTGGAGAAAATAACTTCAGTTTTATGAAATTGTTTTGTATAATTAAGTTTAAAGATGAGGGGTAGGCGCATAGAGAAGAAGAGTTAAAAGGAGGGGTGGAAGGAGGTATGTGTGGATTTGGGGCTCCATCAGGTTGTATATTACCGCAGTGAAAATGCTGGAGGAATAATTTTTTTTTTAAATTCACGGCAATTTCCTCATTAAATTTTAGGGGGCAGATCCTTATTCAGAATTATTGCATGCATAGTGCGCATGCATTATAAAATCTAGTACTGTGGAAGAATTAATCTCAGAATTGTGAACCTTTTCTTGAAGTTGTCAGTGCTACTTAATGGTATATACTTGAAATTGCACCCTCCATCCCTCCCGGTACGTTTTTGGAACAGTATATATACTGAGTGTTGAGTGCGTTTTTAATGCGAGGTGTCACTTAAGTGGATCCTCGCCTCTCATTTTATTCGCTACACACCGATTTCGTTGACCTGTAGGTATTAATATTATGATGATTACCTTGTGAATGATCGACCATTCAAGTATAAATCTAATGGCCTGGTTACACGATCAAATTGAACCATCAAATTGGACCTCTCATTGGTCGCATCCTCACCTCAGGTCTTTCCAGAGCTTCAGTTTGATGGCTCAATTTGATCGTGTAACTGGACCTCTAGAAATCGTATGCAGTTGGAATGGGAGTATGCACACAATCTACAACACTTGTGGGCAAGCACTGTTCATTGCTGTATGAGACAGGAGACACAGACCCCCTCGAAACTTCTATTGTTTTGGTTACCATATGTTTCTTTCTTAGTTAAACTGGGACAGTAATATACTTAATTCGCTAAGACAAGAGAATTCTACAATTTCTGGTCTTCTACATAATGTGCATTATTGAAAGTTGTTTATTTGGAGTCACGTATTTTACGTTATATTAAAAACAGAATCATTAAATGAAAATAAAAATCAACGAAAATGCACACGCAAGATTGTTCATAAATAAATCCCATCGAACGTTCTTTTGTCTCCTAATAACGTTGGAAATTTAATTCATGTAGACAGGTGAAAGCATACAGGTCTTGTCTCTCAGTTACGATATTTTTAAATATAATTCGTCCAAAAAAAGTAGGAAGCTCTAATCATGTGACGCGCTAATTCTTACCGTGTTGAGAGATCCATCATGAATTCATCAAGGTGATGGCAAAATCCTGGAACCACCTTTAAATTAATAAAGCGCCAAGGCCAATGGCACATAATCACCGAAAACGAAGAGGGAATTCGACAATGATCGGGCCTCACACTCAAACCTCGTATCAACAATGACTGAAACGGTCAGATAAGAGGTTTTGACTTCTCCTCGGGCCCAGTCGCGAATGGGCTTTCAAATGCCTCGACTCATTGTAACAAGGGACTTTCTCCGACGCAGTCCTCTGCCGGATCGTCGAGGGAAACGGAGATTTTCCGGAAGGTGTCATCGGTGAGACGGCGGCAGGATCCGAGTCGTCCGACAACCGGCGGAGCTCCGAGACATCGCGTTAAGCTCAAAGGTTTAACTCCGTCGTCTCACGAACGAAAGCTCAATTCAGCCCAAAGCTCCGAGCAGATTGATTCAGGTTCTTCTGCAAATGTTGTCAAACCGTCTTCACCGAAAGAAAAAGTTGGCGTTGTGCACCGACAGACTGCTAATTTTGAGCCAGCTGACACAGTTTATGGGTGGTTCAGGGTGTCTACAAGTCCTGAAAGTCCGGAAATAGCACTAATTTTTAAGGGCGGTCCGGAAGTACTGAAAAAGTGCGGAAATTTCGCAAAAAGATCCGGAATTTTTTGGATTTTTTGTCATTTTTGTCGCAATTTCAATTCTTTGAAATATTTAGAATTTCGTCAAATGGAGGTACTGAAAAAGTATGGAAATTTTCTGTTTGAGGAGGTACTGAATTTCTTGAGAATGTACTGGAAAAAGTACTGTAAAAGTACTTATTTTTGACCAGCCTGTTTTAGTAGATACCCTGCAGTGGTTTCATGCTGACTGGAATAGTTTTGTCGCCGTAACGGACAACAGTTCGGTCGTATTTTTAGTAGTAATGGTAATTACTCGAATTTTCTTGCAATAATCTACACAAGGTAACGTGTTTTAACGCTCTTCAAAGATATATCGCTCTACTTTTCAATTTGAATGAAATTTAAAAATTTAAAATTGCCTAGTCCCCGACGTAAATAGCCTAGATGCTGATCGTCGTTAAATAAAATTAACTAACTAACTATATATGACCAAAAATATGGTGTCTGTTACGCTGACTTTTTACCGCGTAATACGTAACCCTTTGAAGATTAATGCGAAAAATGTCTAGTCATTATCATTTCTACTAAAAATTTGCCCGAAAAATGTGTTGTCTGTAACGGCGACAAAACTATTCCAGTTATCGTGAAACCACCCTCATGCTGTGCACTCAGGAAATTGGTGTCGAAAATGTCGCAGGCAATCAGCAATCGCTGGCAATAGACCACTAGACAAGGTACGAATTTAAGCATTCTAATACATATTTCTGAACCATAATTTTACGCGAAACACGATTCTCGCATCGAAAATTACTGAAATCAACTCCCAACTAAGATATTGACGCTTTTATTTTACAATGGTTTTGTGTAATTTGAATTGCCCGCTTACAAGAAAATCAATACTCTGAGTGATTTACGTGATTCAATACGTGAGTTCCGTCGCGTACTACAACGGATTCGGCAGTTTCTCAGTCGAGCAATGTTCATTTCCCACCCTGTGTTGTTCAAACTACAAACAACTTGCTATAGCTGAGCTAAAGCGTCAAGATTGGAGGTTGCCAGATTTTCACGTCGGAGAGACTGTCATAGTAACGTTTAGTGCGCGCTTTGACTCACGTAGATTTTTGTGTTTTCATGGGCAGGAGGTGTGGATTCACGCGGCAAGAAACATCGAATATCTTGGTTAGGAATTCACTTCAGTAATTTTCGTTGCGCGAAACGTGTTCTCTGTGAAATGTTGGTTAAGAGACATCTATTAGAATAACTGGAAAAACGCATCTCTGGTGCTGT